TTTTTTTTTGCTTCTATTAATATTCTGAATTACATTTATGAATTTGCATATGTTAAACCGGGCTTGTATCCTTGGGATGAAGCCTACTTGATTGATGTATAATTTTTTAATGTGTAACCATAATCTGTTAGCCAAGATTTTTGCCAGGGATGTGGAAGTACTTAAGGGAAGAGTCATATCTTGATGAGCTTGCATTGCTAGTAATAATGATTTTATAAACTTAAAACCAATATACAAGTATAAGGCATAAGAAGGCTAGGAATTGAATTAAGAAAATGATTGCCAAGAATGGGCAAATGAAAACAGAAATTAGTAAAAAGTGGATGTAAAAAGTCCTGAGCCCAGGGCAAAATCTCCTGGAAGCCTGGAGCCTTTAAAACTGAAAAAGTGGCTTGCTAAAACTTCACCCCTCCCCCTCAGCATGGAGGTCTCTAAGCAGGTAACACAATCCCAGAGGGGTGGGGCCATTAGCTCTGAGAGAAGGAGGGCATTTGTAAATTTATGTAGAATGTTTAAACTTTGTTAAAGATGGCAAGATTTGCTCTAGACCAGATAAAGAGATAAAATATCTCTTTGCTTCTGTCACCTTGGTATGACCAGAAGTGTCAGTCTGTCTGAGCAACAAGCTTCTTGAATATTAATTGTCACTTCTGTGATTTGTGTGATGGCTTAATTGGGGTCTTCTCTGATGTCCTGCTCTTAGACTGTTTTTACTGTTTCATACTCTGTTTGTGTTAAAGATCATAAATACCTAAAGCAATAAAAGTAAAAAGTAAATCCATCCAATTAACATAGTTAGTTAAAGAAATAGTTTAGTTAGAAAAATGCAAGCATAGCAAAAACCATATCAGAATTATTTGCCTTTCCCTCATAAGATTTATGATTAAAATAATGGTATATGAAATAAAAATGAAGTTAGCCTGGGATAAGATGCTGCATATGTGCTAGGCCTCCCTACAAAAGACGGGTAGTCTCCTGGCCCTGCTTGAATTTTAAAACTTTCTCTATGTCTCTTGAAATTTTCATTTTCTTCATCCCTGGGAGGGAATCCACGGCATTGTTGGGGCTGATACCCAGTAGATTTTATTGAGTTCTTGTGCATCCATGTTTATTAGTGATGTTAGTCTGTAGGTCTCCTTTTTAGTTGGGTCCTTTCTTGGTTTTTGGTATCACAGTGATGTTTGCTTCATAGAATGTGTTGAGGAAGATTCTTTCCTTCTCAATTTTTTCAAGTAGTTTCTGCAATATAGATACAAGTTTGTGTTTGAGGATTTTGTAGGGTTCTGGTGTGATGCTATCTGGTCTAGGATTTTTTTTTTTTTTTTTGAAGCTTCTTTATTGTTTCTTCAATTTCAGTGCTTGGTATTGGACTGTTCATAGATCTATTTCTTCCTTATTAAGTGTAGAGAGATGGTGTGATTGCGGGTATTGGCCCATTTCCTTCACATTGTCAAATTTCTGGGCATAAAGTTTCTTGGAGTAGTCAGAGATAATCTCCCGTGTCTCTGCAGTATTGGTTGTTATTTCCCCTTTTTGTTTCTGATTGAGGTTATTAGAGATTTTACTTTTATGTTTCTAGTTAATCTTGCCAAAGTTTTATCCATTTCATGTATTTTTTGAAGAACTAAATTTTTGTTTGTTTGATTTTCTGAATGATTCTTTTGTTTTCAATTTCATTTATTTCTGATTAATTTTTTATTATTTATTTCATCCTGCTAAGTTTGAGATTGGATTGCTCTTCCATTTCCTTAAAATGATTTGTTAGGTTGTTGATATGTGCTTTTTCTTTCTTTCTTTTTTTTGATATAGGAATCTACTGCAATAAATTTCCCTGTTAGGACTGCTTTTGCATCCTAAGTTTTTTTGGTAACTTGTAGCTTTATAGTTGTTAAATATTATGAATTAATAATTTCCTTCTTTATCTCTCTTTCTTTACACGACTGAGCCTCAACATAAAATCATTTAATTCCATGCCTTTGTGTGGGGATGAAAAAATGTTTTTAGAGTTTAGTTCCACCTTTATTGCTTGTGGTCTGAGAAGATACACAGTATGATTTCAATTTTTTCATTTTTGGGGGGTTGGATTTGTGTCCTAGGATATGGTCTAATTTGGAGAATGTTTCATGGGCTGATGAGAAGAACATTTATTTCTTATCTTTAGAAGGTGTGTTATGTTGATATACTCTTTGTCCTGGGGTTGCATTTAGATCATTTGTATCTTTGTTTACTTTTTGTTTAGAGGATCTGTCCAGTTCTGCCAAAGAAATGTTAAAGGACCTAGCTATTATGGTGTTATGGGATATCATACAGCTCAGACCTTTTAAAGCCTATGTCATATATCTCAGAGTATTTGTGTTGAGTGCATACTTTTTTTTAAAGGGGAAAGTAAGAATGAAGTCCCCCACTACCAGACATTATACAGTCGAATTTGCCACATTTGGAGAAATTGTAGGGGTCATCACATCCAGAATGCAATGGATAACCCTCACCCTAGGAAAACCACCTTCGTGATCATGGTATCTCCCCTGCAGGTAAGTATGGGTGCATAAATATTTAGAATTGAAATGTCCTCATGTCTTGTTCCCTTGACCACCCACTATGAAGTGACTATATCTTTCTTAACATTAGTTGCTTTAAATCCACTGGTATAAGAAAATAAGATTGTCACCCCTCCTTTCTTCTGATTTCCATTTGCCTGAAATATTGTTTTCCAATGCTTCACCCTGAGTCTTGCTGCCCTTTGTGTTTAGGTGTGTTTCCTAGAGACAGCATATAGACGGCTTGTTCTTTTTTATCCAATTGGTCAAGCTGTGTCTCTTCAGTGGGGGAACTCAAGTCATTTACATTATTGAGAGAATTGATAAGTGTGGTGGAGTTCTAGTCATCTTATTTTGTGAAGGTCCTTTGCTTAGTTGTATCCTTTGTGCTATTGTGGAAACTAGGTTTTGTTATTTAGTTTGTGAATGTTTAATTGGTGATGGTCCATTGTGATGTTCAATGTGAACAATAGGCCAAAGTACTTACTGTAGAGCTATACTTCTTTTAGTAAATTTCCACAATAGTTGAATGTCAGTAAAAGATTTGTTTTCTCCAGCAATTTTGAAGCTTAATTTAGTGGGATATAAAATTCAGGACTGAAATTGTTTTGTTTAAGAAAGTTAAAGGTAGCTGACCATTCTTTTTAGGCTTGGAATATTTCAACTGAAAAGTTTGTTATCCCCCTGATTTATCTGCCTCTGTAGGGCAATTGATGCTAACTCCTTGGTGCTTGCAGAATTTTCTCTTTCTTCTTGTTTGGATAGGTTCATACAAAGTGTCTTGGTGATGCTCTATTCCTGTTGAGATGACACAGGGTTTGATATTCCTATAAAAGTCATGTTTTGGAATCTTTAGTGAACCTTGGGAGGTTTTCATTTATAATATCCTCCAGTAGGGCTTCCATTCCTTTGAGATTCCCTTCCCCTTCAGGGATCTCTATAATTCAAATGTTTGAATGCTTCATAAAGTCCCATAATTCTTAGAGGGAATATTCTGTTTCCTCTCTCTTCTTTTTCTGCCTTTTTAACTACCTGGGTTAGCTCAGGAGCTTTACCCTCTAGCTTTGATGTTTTTTGTTCCCCATGGTCTAATCTCATATTGATACTTTGCACTGCATCTTTAGGTTCCCTGATTGACTCTTTTAATTTTTTAAGCTCTGCTATATATTTTTTTTATATTCTTCATATCTTTCACCCATTTTTGTTCTGTTTTTCCACTTTCTCATCAAGTCCTTTTATTTTTGCCATACAAGACCCTACCTCAGCCAAATAAAGAAAAAAAAATAGCAGTATGTTATAGTGGGGACCCACCAATACTCTTTTATGAAAGCCCAAAGCTAGAAGGACACCCTAGACTATGAGTGCAGGGCTTCCATGAGTCAGACCAAAGCTCTGACCCCACTACTGACTGATGCTTCAATCCCCAGCCCTCAGAGAAAAGAAAAACAATAATACAAATAATTAAAGAATATTAAAAATACAATTATATAAACTGAAAAACAAAAGGGATATCTTAGGTGTCATATGAGAAATTTATGTGAATAAGATGGGAAAAATAGAAAAATTTCTCACAAAGGAGAGAAAAAAGAAGAGAGATAATAAATAAAATGGAGGAGCTCTCATTATTAAAGTAAAAGTGAAAAAATAAAAATGCATCCAAACCAAACTAAACAAAACAAGATTCAATGATAGCAACAACAAAAGAGAGAGAAAATATATATGTGAGTGTATATTCACATATATAGGTTGTAATACATTTCCTTGACACCAGGATGTGGTGTAATGTTAGGATTGGGAGAACACACATGCTGCTTTTACTTTATATTACAGGGTGCCAGAAGCTATCTCCAATTTGACATGAAACCTGAATCTGTCCTCCTGACCTATTTGTCCCCAATCAGGGCCTGGTGTCTTCACCAACACTCAGTGCCTGCAAGAGATTAGGATCCCAAAGCTCTCACCAGATCTCTCCAGTGGCCACATCTTGATCTTTGAAATAATGCCTTCTGATAACAAAGTGGTTTTCTCTAGGATAGGGAAGTGCTCAACTAACCCCAAGGATAGCTGCTGGAACTCAGCAGGTGTGCTAGAGCTGGCTGTGTACCAGGTCTTCAAGGATTGTTTCTCTCATGTGGCTTTCCCATAATAGCAACCTGCCCATAGCTTCACTCCACCTGACACTCAATCTTGGCTGCCTGACACTGCTGGAGTTCCCTTGCTCGTCCAATCCCCTCCAAGGCAGTCCAATCCAAAAACAAAAACTGTGGAACAGCCTTTCCCACTTCCAGTCCTCCATGGGAAGCATGCTAATGGACCTCTGCCTGTACCCTGGCCCCTTCCCCCTGTCCTGATCCTCCTTAGCTCCAGATCTTCTTGTTGCCTCTTGGTGTATCCTACTGCATCACTGTGTCCCAGGAGCAAGTGGTGGGTAGATTCCCCCAGCCAGAGGTGGCCAAAATCCACTGTTCCCTGTAGAGTAGCTGGCAAGGTGATATCTCTAGTCTGCCATTTTGTTCCACTCCCCTAGCTTAAATATTATTGATTGAGAACAATTATAAATATCCTTTGTGAATAACCAGGTATTCATTAAAATATATATTGAGGAATGTGAGCATTGATATTTGGCTCTATTGAAATGTTTCGCCAAGTTATTAATTATAAAATAAAAAGATGTAGTTCTTTCAGGCTATATAGCAGAAGAATGCCTATTATTATTACATATGTTGTACTTAAATATAAATAAAACCACCCTAATCACATAACAAAATAATGCAAGTTTAAATGCTTATTATTTATTCTTATTACTACTTTATTCTTCATTATTCCTTTCTCAAGCTATTGTTCAAAACAGGAAATCATACAAAAGGACAAAGCATCTTATCTTTAATATTTATGTAAGTTTATATCATCTAATGCAAAACTCTGATAAATACTAAATTAGAGAATATACCTAGGCTAAGGAGACTTACGTAAGGGTTCCTTCTTCCTTCCCTTGACTCTAAATGACCAAATTTGTGAAGAAACCTTCAGTTCAACTAGCTGATTTCATTGCAGATAAAAGTGAAGCTGGAGGTAAAAATTGAATTGTGTCACATTTGGTGCACTTTATTGTCTGGGTCAGAAATGTAAATGAGACCTAGGTGCTCTTTATCTCTGGAATTTAACACTGGTTACTGGTATCAAAAGAGTCTACTCATTTTCAAGTTGTTACTAATCAGATTTACAAGTTTTGTTTCTGCTGTAGGACCTAGTAAGGGAAGTAGATACGAAGAAATAACCATGGAAGTGATGATAAGGATAAGGTGACCAGATGTCTCGCTTTTGGCGGAACAGTCCTGATTTTTAACAATTTGTCCCACAACCCACAGCATTTTTTAAAAGTCCCAATTTTTGGAAAGAATGCATGACAAGCTAAGGAACAGCAGGAGAATGGGAAGGGAATGGTTTTGGGCTGCTGAAAAGGTTAATGTAACTCCATTTGGGAATGAAGAGGTTAATGTAACTTCATTTGGAAATGAAAAGGCTAATGTAAACTCCCTACTCCCCTCCTGGGCCAGGTATCAGAAGGAGTCTGGCTCCCTCCCTTGCTTCTAGGCCAGGACAATTAGCTCAGAAGGAGACAAGCTGTCTGGAACAAACAAGTAGCCCCCCACTTCTCTAGAGTAAGGTTACCAGATGTCCTGCTTTTGGTAGGACAGTCTGGATTTTTAACAATTTGTCCTATGTCTTGCAGTGTTTTAAAAAAGCCATGATTTTTGGAAAGAATGCACAAGCTAGGGAACACAGGAGAACAGGAAGGGAATATAGTTCTTGACTGCCATGTGGCTATTTCACCAGGATATGTGTTTTATATTATTTTTGTTAATTTTATAATGTTAAACTTTAATAGTAACAAATAATTGTTGAGAATTGATTATCGAGAACTGCTTATCAAAGTTTGCATTGTTATCAGGCCCTGCCCACCCCCAATGGTGTGGAGTGTGTTTTAACTTAGAAAAATCACTGAAGTAAGTGGGAACATAATTTATTTTCATATCAAGAATACCCATTCTTTCTATATGTATACATATATGTCAGTGAATTCAATAATCTTCAAAGCTAGATGAGGCTGAGGAGTCCTTCACTTCTTCAGTCTTCTTCATGGCTTTTTCTATCAAAAAATAGCAAAAATAATTCTTTAAATGAGGACGTGAACAGCTGATTCTGTCACCAGGCAGAACTCATAAAACTCCACCCATAAATATCAATCTTCAACTTTGTCACCAGTTTGGAGTTTGCTCCATGAAGGGTTATAGAATATGTAAACTGGAAGCCATCCAGTTTGCAACAGATATTTATTTAGATTCTAACAAAGAATTATAAGAAAAAAGGTTACTAAAAAAAAGTTAAAATGATATCACACTGTTGAATATGAACCCTCTGAGGGTTCACTGAATACTTGTGGGAGGACAAAATCCAGTTGTTCTTTATGAAATGATATTTGCTATTTCTCTTACTGCTAATCACAGATCATGAAGAAATGTGAAATCATTGCAATTTTTATTATGCTTAATGTTGTATTTCTCATTATGTTTATCCTTGTACTTATTTGCTTGCTATGTTACTGTGACTGAGATAAATTAAAACATCATGAGTGGTAAATTGCATGTGTGGAGAACTTGTAATGAGGACATCTCAGGAGATACATAGGGAACAGAATGTCTAGAACAGCAGCAAAAGTTTTAGCCACGTGCACAGTGAAAAATAGGGCATGTGTATTAGCAGCAACCATTGCAACCATATGCACAACAAATTAATCACTTAGCTAGGCAGAAATAGCTAAGGTAGATACTAGTCAGACCAATAAACAGCAGATGTCAAAGCAAGCCTTTCCCATACTAGATACATCAACATAGGAAAACAGTCACACCCTCACTTCCTGCACATGTTGTATATCCTGCTACACAGAGTAACATTCATTTTAACTTTTTTTTGGTAAGCTTTTCTCTTATAATTCTTTGTT